CTCTGTGAAGCAGGAGCGGCGGACGCTTCCTAAAAGTGGGGAGGCCACCGGTGCCCAAACCATGGCTCATAAGTCCCTGCCCCCATGCTGCCCCTTCTCCCGAGCCCCCGCACCGCCTCTTCCCCCCCAAGGCCCCGCCCCCCCACTCACCCCTCTCTGCTCCCTCCACATCACTCACCCTTACGGCTGGTAAAAATGTGGTGGGGCCATGACCCTTTGTTCCTCGCTGTCCCTGCTGCATGGTATACAGAGTCTGTTCTGATGCCCTTTCTTTTGGCGTTTGCAGATCGGTTTGTCTACTGTACTCGCGCTGCGTTGACCACGGGATGTTGACCAGGGCTCAAGGCCGTTCGGGGAAGTGGACTCACGGGGCGCTGGCGTCCGCGGGAGGCCAATCTGAGCGTAGACACGTGCACAGACAGGTCGATGCAAGGCGACTTATGGCCCCCCCGCTTTGTGGGGCAGCCCGGACTTTAGTTGGCAGCAGGCTGGGGTGTAAAGCTGTCTGCGCACGAAGTGTCCGTGCGGACCCTGCTACGCGCACTAACAGCGCGGTAGTGCGCTTTGATCTACCCCACTTTGAAACGGGAGAGCAACGCAAACTGAGGAACTTTTAGCGCGCCGCAGCAGAGTCCACACGGGCAGTTTGTGCGCAGCGGCGGGGGCAGGGTAGATTTACACCCCAGCTTGCCGTGAGCGAAGTGCTCACTTAGACAAGCCCTAACTCCCCGAGGGGTGTCTGGGACCCAGGAGGCGGGAGGAGCAAGATCTGACTTCATGCAAAGTGCGCTTCAGGGTTCGTGCAATGTGCGTGGTGCGACCGCACGTGGCCAGTGGCTTTGAGGGACAACAGGGTGCAAAGTGGGCTTGTGTGGAAAATCCAGTCCTCCTCAAGCTCAGCAGGTTTAATCCAAGCGCCACAAGGACGTACGTTGCCTTCGTGCGCGTGACGGTAGCTGCTCGGTTCCGCTGCTCACCGGGTGCCTGTACGCACGTGGCCGGGCCTCGGGACCGCATCGTGGCTCCTTGGCAGAGCTTGCAGTGCATTTGCAGCGCGGGGGTGGCAGAGGGAGGTCAGCCAGCTCGTGTAGCAGCTGAACCGTGAGCTATTGCTAAGGTTCGGGCCAGTTCCTCGCTTCTCTGGACAGGTTTGGCCATCCCTAGCGCATGAGCTTAGCCGGGCTTGATTAATAAGAGCTGTCTACACATGAGTTAATCCAGAATGTAGGGTGTGAATTTGAAGCAGATTAACTCCATTCTTATTCCATAATAATAATAATAATAATAAAATAATAATATAATAATTAATGGAGATATCCCATCTCCTAGAACTGGAAGGGACCCCGAAAGGTCATTGAGTCCAGCCCCCTGCCTTCACTAGCAGGGCCAAGTACTGATTTTGCCCCAGATCCCTAAGTGGCCCCCTCAAGGACTGAACTCACAATCCTGGGTTTAGCAGGCCAATGCTCAAACCACTGAGCTATCCCTCCCTTAGAATAAAAATAAGAGAGTCTTATTCCAAAATAGCGTAATCCAGTTAATCAGGAGCAGCTATTCTGGAATAACTCTCCATGTAGACAAGCCCTAACACTTGGCCTTTCTGTAGCACCTGCCTGTAGCACCGAGGATTTCAAGGCATCTTAGGCGACGTCTGCCCTGCGATAAAAGACTCGCAGCACGGCTGCAGCTGGCCCAGGCTAGTGGGTTCAGGCGTTGGCGCTAAACATTGCCGTGCAGAGCCAAGTAAACGAGATGGGTGACGGATGCAATGTTCACCCCCTCAGCCCAAGCCCTGCTAGCCTCAGTCAATCGACCCAAGCGCTGAGACCGGCGCCGCGGGTTTTTCAGTGCAGGGTTCACGTACCCTGGCAAACATTCACAGCACCCCAGGCAAGAGATGAGTATTGTTCTTAGCACACAGAGGGGAAACTGAGGCAGAGTGGGGCCGTGGCTTGCCCGCAGTCACACAGTGAGCCAGCGGCAGAGAGCCGAACCCAGGTCTCTGGATTCTCAGTCCCAGGATCTAACCATTAGACCCTCCTCTCTTCCCTTGATACATTCCAGGCCGTGCCTTTGGACCGATGGCATCGAGCGCCCAGCATCTTCTGCTCAGGGTGGCCCCGTGAAGGCCCGGTGGGTGAGATGAGGCTGGGCCTGGGCCTGGAGAAAAGCCCCCCTGCCTAGCTGGGGTAGAAACCAGCCGGGTGCGATTCAGAGGCAGCACAAGAAACAAGGCAGCTGGCGCCGTACAACAGAGCCCCTGCGGGAGCGTGACACAAAGGCACTTGACCCTCCCGAACAAGGGGGCTCTGTGAGCAGACAGCCACGTGGTTAGCAGCAGGGCCAAGCCTTCCAGTGTCCAATCACAAGCCCCCCCGGGGCTCTGCCTCCCTTAAAGGGACCCTTGCAATGAGCCTCCAAGCTGCGGTCTGGAGGTTGGGGCCGGGTGGTGACGGGCCCTCGCACGGAAGCCGATGGCAACAGCAGACCCAGTTAGCGCATTGGCAGGGGAGGAGCAGAGCTGGCGTCCGGCCCCCTTGTGCACCAGCTGGTGTTTCCTCCCCCAAAGAAGGTGAGGAAAAGAACAGAGCTGCAGTGTCTTCCCGTTGACTTGGGATCAGGCCCTTAGCCGACGACGATGGAGGGAAAGGTTTCGTAAGTTTCCCATCAAGCCACGCTCGCGTGGTTACCGTGGCTCATGCTGGGCAGGGTGGATAGAGCCCGGGTACGCGTGCCAGCTGCCGAGGGTGCTTGCCTGGCTCTTTGGGGGAGCCCCTGCCATGCAACACCCCGAGCAAAGCAAGAAACCCACAGCCCGGCCCCAGATGGGTTACAAAGCAAAGTGCCCGTCCCTGTTCCCTCTGGCTGCCCTGGGGGAGCGTCTCCTTGTCGTATGGGGAGCGGGGGTGCCAGTCCGCTACAGTTGGCTGCGTTGGCAAGTCCATTGCCCGAGGCCTTTTCCTCCCCCTCAGGGTGCAGGAAGCATTACAGCCCAGCTGCTAATATCCAAGACAGTCCGAGAGAGGCAGCTCCGTTTCTGGCTGCTCCTCAGAGCTGCCAACCCTTTTAGCGGCTGGACCCTCCCCAGTTTCCTATTCAATCTGCCGGCCAACCATGGGCCTTTGGGGAAAACCAAAGCTCACGGGCTGTTTCAGAGGCGACACGGAACGGAGTCCGAGCCCCAGGCTCCATTCCCTGCTCTGCCACGGACACAGTGCATGACCTTGGGCAAGTCACATTGTCTCTCGGTGCCTCGATTTCCCCAGCTGTACAACGGGGACACTAGCCCTGCCCTACCTCCCAGGCCACGTGAGGATCAATCCATAAGCACTAGAGAGGCCATCAGACACTCTGGCGATGGGGACCACCCAAGAGAGGGGCGTTCGCGGTGGCCTCATCCCTGCAAAAGGCAGGCTGCTGCCTGCTGGGTGTTTCCACCCAGTGCCGAGTTTCCTCCCTAGCTAGAGAGAATCGCAGTGATAAGTGAGTGGGCCAGTCTGGAGGATGCACAGCAGACAAGCCTCTGGGACGGTGTCCTGGGTGGGCGGAATCCAGGAACGCACACCTGCCGACGGCCTGGCCGCGGGATAGGGCTGAGGGCAGCGAGGGACGAGGCCGGACTCGGAATCCAGGAACGCACACCTGCCGACGGCCTGGCCGTGGGATCGGGCTGAGGGCAGCGGGGACGAGCCGGACTCGGAATCCAGGAACGCACACCTGCCGACGGCCTGGCCGCGGGATAGGGCTGAGGGCAGCGGGGACGAACCAGAGCAGACAAAGCTCTGGAAGGAGCTATGACAAAAATCAGGAGGGCTCGCCAAGGCTCACGGGCCTAGAAACGTACAGCTTCGGTCACATTAGCTGCATGGGGGACGGCGGGAGATTGGCTGAGGTTGATGCAGGGCCTAAGGAAAGCAATACACTTGGCGTGGGCGTGGAGCTGGAGGAGGGGAACAAACACGCTGTTTTCTTGCCCCATCGCCGAGGTCGGGAGAGGGCCCTCCGGAGGGCAAAGAGGTACCAGCATCGCCCCGCTGCAAAGGGAGGGGGGACATGAAGCAGTGTCTCCAGCCCTGGCCAGTGGCGGGGAGGGGCTCTAATGCTGGGTGTGGTTGTTGCTGCTGTGGAGGGAGGGAGTGTGTGTGGGGAAGGGTTTCTCGGCTGCTCAGAGGGGGTGGAATTCACCCCACTGCAGAGGCCTGCGCTCAGGTCCCACTGAAGCCCTGGGAGGTTTGCACTGCGGCCCCCTCCTGGATCCTGGTTTTCAAAACTCCTGAGCTGTCCGGGGGCTGGGACGTGGGGTAACAGTCCCCCTCCGCTGAGAGCCAGCACGAGGCCTAGATGCCGCTTCCGCCCTCCGATTCACTACTGCCGCAGGGTCCACCTCTCCGACCCGTGCCCAGTTCTGCGCCGCCTCCACGGAGCTCCCAGCACCGGGGGCATCCCAGGGTGGGCAGGGGGAGGCAGAGGTGTGGCTGGGACAGGCAGGTGATTCTCCACAGCCACAAGCCCTGCTAGGGCTATGGCATCACGGGCAGCAAGTGGGGCCTGCCCTCGCCTGGTCCGGGAGCCAACTGGGCCATCGCAGCTCCTGCGGCACGAACTCCCCTCGCACCAGTACCGGGATCCGAGGCCTCGTGCCAGCCCCTCCACACAACCGGCGAGGCCCCCCCGGCGTGAACAGCGCTGCACCGGCCTCGCTCATTTCAGAGCAGAGCGAGGAGCCGGCGAGAGGGTTACAAATAGCTGCGCTCGCCGAGAGGCCAAAGAAATCCGGGGGTTGCATTCGGAGGCGGCGAGACGCGGCTGGGGAGAAGGAGCTCATACGCGGCAGCCTGGCTGCTTGTGCTCACTAATCCGAAAATAATACCCCGCAAACAAATTAACAGACACAAATTACAAGAGAGCGGCTAAAAATAGCCGATTCCCGAATGGTAAATGCAGGCTCCAGAAACGCGCTGCGAATCGACACTCAAATACCCCACAACACGGCCCAGGGCTTAGGCAGCTATGCCAGCCTTTAATGAAGGCAGGCCAATTGAATCGTGAGCAGGGGACGGCCGGATAAACATCCTGAGCGGTGCCTCGCTGGGTCAGTGGGGAGGACGCCTGGGGGTGCCGGGCTCGATCTTTGAGGCGAGATCAGGAGCTCTGAGGGGGCCTCGTGATGAACCCATGGCGAAGATGCCGATGCTGCGGTCGACGCTGGTATTGAGAGTTTAAAAGCGCCTCTTGGGGGGCAGCCTTTGGGCTCAGCTGGTTCCCTCGGCACCGGTTGAATTTCTTTTTTCTAAGCGATCCTTTGTCACCGGGCAAAAGCCAAGAGTCAACGCCGGCCAGAGCGGCAACTTTCAATCCCTCTGGAGGGGGACAGAAAAGGGTGCCTGCAATTATCTCGTTCGCTCGGGCGGAAGGGAGTTAAGGAGCCGGTGCTTGGGGAGGAGCAGCGCGCAGAGCCCCTTGACCGCTTTGCCTAGGAGCCGGACATGCCATCCACTTCCGGGAGCTGCACGGAGCCAGGGCAGGCCGGGAGCTTGCCTTAGCCCCACTGTGCTGCCGACTGGACTTTTAGCAGCCTGGTGAAAACCGGACACCTGGCAACCCGAGTCCCGTCACATCAAAGGGGGTCCCTGTTCCACCCTCCTCCCCACTGATCTTGTACCCTCCTGTGCCCCCACTGCTCACCCTCCAGCCTACCCACAGGCCCCCTATCCCTGCCTTCTCCCCAGGCTGCTTTCGTCTCCCACCTCTGCACCCTGCCTGCCCCTCCCATCTGTCATGTCCCCATCACCGTCCATCCTCCTCCTCCCCGGCGAGGATGCTCCGCTCCTCTGACCCCCCCTCCTCTCCCAGCCAGCTCACTGGGCCCCCCTGAGCTACCGCTCTGGCCTGCCATTCCCCCCACCCCTCTGCCTCTCCCGTCCCCGTTTGCGCTGGGTGTTGGTTTCAGGCATGCCAGGCTGGGCAAAGGCCTTTTCGGGGCAGGGCAGAGCCAGTGCAGCCGGCAGAGGAACACCAGGCCCGTCCAGGCGGCTCTCCGGGAGAGTTTGCCGGAACCCGCCCCTCCCCGCCTTGCCAGACGCAGGCGTCGCGGTGCGAAGGGCCATGAAAGGAGGCCGGGGGAGGCGGCAGCGAAGTGACCCACTTACAGGCTGCCTGATTGAGACGTAGGCAGAGACCCCAGAGGGGCAGCGTTCGTGGCTAATTTTATCCACCGTTCAATTAATCATGGGTCAGGAGGGGAAGACGAGGCCCCGCCGAGCCGTAGAGATTCCCACTCGCCCCGGCCTGCCGCAGGAGGGCACCCGTTTCCGGAGCCACGACTGGCCTTCAAAACCGTGGACTCGGGGCGAGTGCCACGATTTCAGTGGAGGGGGGAGCTCTCCCAGCCCTGCCGGGGGCGCTGTGTGCCCCGTAGGGTTTACTCAGTCTCTGCTAGTGACAGTAGCACAGTGTCTTAAAACGAGGGCTGAAATTCGTCAGAGACGCGCATCCCCTGCCCTCCTCCATTGCCGTCTGTACGGGCACGTGTTTACAGTGGCAGGGGGTGATAGAGCGGAAGGATGGCATTGTGGGCTCCGGCACTCAGGAGAGCTGGGTTTAATCCCTGGCTCTGCCCTAGATTCGGGTCAGTCACGCCATCCTGCTGTGCCTCAGTTTCCCCACCTGTAGAGTGGAGAGAATGATGCGTCTCTTGTCTATTTGATTGCAAGCTCCGTGGGGCAGAGACTCTCTCACTAGGGGGAAGGGCAGCACCCAGCTCACCCTGGCCCTGTAGATGTTGCTGTAGTACAAATAAAGAGACGGAAATCTGATGCCACTTCCCAGCCCAACCCAACGGTAGTGGTGAGGTCCTGTTTTACTGCTCCCCGCTTGGTGGCTTCGCTTTACTTTGAACGGCGGCTTCCCAGGGGCATAAAGAGGCCGTGCAAAACTCAGCCACAAGACCCACTGAGTCAGACCCCCAGCCCCAGATCCCCGTCTCCCCCCCTCGAAAGAAAACCCCACTTTGGTCTGTTCCAAATGGTGATCCGAGTTCTGCAAATAGTTCAGTCTCCCCAAAGCCCGGGTAAAGCTGGAGTCCGCTGAATTCTGGGGCTTGGGGCTTGCATGGCCCCTCGAGGGGAGAGGATGTCATTTGCTCTGGGTCTGCCAATCCCCCCCCGCCCCCTTTTGCCAGCGCCAAATGCACTGGGAAAATGGCCCAGGTTAAAAATGCATCTACCGAAATCCCCCCCGGAGCGCTGCATGGCCATCCGCCTGCCCCGTGGCTGGGGAAACAGCTCACAGCGGAAAAGCAGCCGGGGTCGGCTCCAAGCCATTTTCCTCTCGCTGCCATGTGCTCACAGCAGATAACGAGCCGATAAGGACAAAAGCATTGTTTATGCCTAATAACAATAACTTATCAGGGGCCTTTCACGGGAGAGATTTGCACTGCTGGAGAGGAAGCTCTGCAAAGCATTGAGTCAGAATCTAGTGCACATGGGGGGGATGTTCAATTGGTGGTTTTGCCTGCGTCTTCGACACATTTTAGAATGGTTCCCCCGCCCTCGGTCCCTGGGGGCCAAATTCTGCTCTGAGCTGCACCAGAGTCAATCTAGAGGGGCCCAGCTGCAGTGGATAACAATGAGTGGATTGACACTGGGGTAGCTGAGCTCAGAATCCGGCCCCAGGTCTGATACCCTGGCTGGGCCCTGCTTATGGGTTCGGCTGGAGAGCTGGCATCAGGGTGCAGTGCTGGGTTTCCGTCCTCTGGCGTCAGGGGAGCGTAGATCTAAAGGACACCAGCCCAGAGCACTCCAGGGAAAAGTCTGGCTCTCTGGGAGCGTGGGCGTGCGGGCGCTAAGATCCCGCTGTGCTGAGCACGGTGTAAGAATCTACCTCGAATAGACGAATACTGGGTCTGCGATCGGCTGTGGGTTGCGGAGGTTAACGTTGCTTGGGGGGCGGGAGCGGGCAGGGGAGCAGTTACGGTGCTGCAGAGACAAGAACTTGGCTGGGATGGCTATAAAGGGGATTCTGGACACAGACATACCCTGTGGTTCTCTCTAGCTCCCAGGCAGAGTGGCACAGCCTGTGCTATCTAATGGCCGCACAGGGACTGCCTGTCCCCCTGAGAAGCCCACCTATGCTGTGTGCAGTACAGGGCCCATGACACACACTTGAGCAATTCTGATCCCATCCATTAGAGGGCAGGGGTTCACACGGACACTCGTTATCTCATTGCAGCATTACGAAGCTATCAGGGACTGCCTGGAGCAATGCACGGCTCGGCTAAAAGGGTCCTCGGACATATATCCCGGCCACCGGGCTAGCCACAGTTGTGTGTAGCTCGCCCAGGTCTGCTGTCATGGTGTCGTCTGCATCACAGCCCTCATCTGAAATTAGAGCAATCCTTTCTGTGCCGTCGGAACTGCCCGAGCCCCCAAGAACAGGGGTGGGCAAACTTTTTGGCCCGAGGGTCACATTTGGGTGTGGAAATTGTATGGCGGGTCATGAATGCTCACAGAATTGGAGGTTGGGGTGCAGGAGTCGGTGAGGGCTCTGGC